AGAAATACATTTGTACTCCTATTAAATTTAATTATGTTCAGAAATATGTAAAAAAGATTGATTTTGCAACCTTCTAATGTTTGAGATAAAAGATAAATAAATAAATATTTTAAAAATTAAAAAAATCACGTGAAATTCGATAACTCGGTTCTCTCAATAATTCAGCCAATTTATTTATATTATCGAGTACTTTTAAACAATTGATTTCTGCGTCCAACTTATCGAGTTTACATGTGCTATATATAAAAAAAATAATGACAATTTCGTTATACTGACATTTTTTTCTTGCACGGAGAGTGTCGTTATAACGGAAGTGACTTGTATTATTTTCAATAATTAATTCGTTGCTATTATTATTCGTAATACTAATACGTAATACGTATTTTACGTTACCATAGTTTCACAAGTTTGTTACATAAAAAAAAAATTTTCGAAGTTTCAATAAGCTGGTTTTTGTAATAACTTGCTTAAATTTCCAATTCATTATTTTTGCCATTTTTTGGGTTAACATAGTAAACTCGTGAAACTTTGAGGCTGATTTGGTTTTTTTTGGCCATACATTTCTATTTTTGGAGGAATTAAAGGATATACACAACCAATAAAAAGTTCAGCACCAAATTTATTTTATTGTTACATAAACATGCCAACATTACTTGCGCCGAAGCATTATACACTTGATAATGTTGATGATAAGTTAATAATACATTTAACAAATATTTGTCTTCAAGTAAATAAGGGAAAATGGACAAATTCAATTGTTCTGGAATTTTTGTAATTTTAAGTGAATGTTGTGAGCAAGTCTACTTAATACATGCCATTGGGTAACGCATTGGGATTTACAGGTTTGATTTTCAGTTGATGATTTAAAAAATGTTTAGCAAATGCAGTAAAATTCTTTACTAAATAATTATACTAAATTTTCCTGGTTTTCTACAAACGAGTAGTGAGTTGTCTTACATGATTTCACAAATGTTTAATCAAATTATCAAGGGAGCTGTTTTTCAAACAAAAAAATGATGTTAATTATGATGATGAATAATAATGATAATAATTTATAAAAAATAAATAAATAAATTTTATTTTTTTAATACAATATAATATGTGGTTACTATTATTAATATAATAACATTATTTTTAACACTGATACATTAAGTGAATGAATTTGTTATATAAAGATAAAATAAATTTCTAAATATTTTATGCTAATAATGCAGATCGTTCTCCAATACTTTCTCTTTCACTACGAAGACGAAACCACGTAACAATGTTACGAGTCCATACTCTCAAGATTCCTCCTATGATCAAACCAGAAGAGATTGAGGATGCAACAAGAATTGGCATGACATCCTTTTGTTCAACAGAAATACCAATCAAAGCCCAAGCAATGGTACCAGCATAGACAACATCATGACGTTTGTGGTAATCAACAAATGAAAGACCAACTATACCAAGAATTACAATGGCCACAACACTTGAAAAAATGGTGTTAAGGGATGGTAACGCAATCCAGAAGTTGACAATAGTGGCATAGAAGGTCCAAGCGGTATAAATGGTGAATCCATAATGAATAAATAATCGATCTGCTAAATTTCTTGGTGGATAAAGTGATAAGTTGTCATATAAACGGAACAAAACAATGAACATGGCCAATAAAATGAATGCTTCCAACAGTACGAGTTTTTCATTTGGCTAAAAGAAAACTTGGTTAATTTTTATCAAAAATATAATGATAATGATGATAATATACTTACAGCAAGTATCATCCAAATGATGGATAATGTACCAGCAATGACATTATGCCAACTAACACCTTCAACTGTGACATCATTAGCAGGTTCAAACCATTGATAAACTACGAATCCAAAAAGTAGAGCTTGGTTGAGGAGCCAAATCTGAAAGGTGTAAAAGGCTGGTAAAAGGTAAACATCATCTCTCTCTTTTTTATCCTGATCCAAGTGGCCACTAAAGGCAACACCAAGAATTGCAAAGTAGACAATAAGATTTAATGATTTGAGAATTAATTCACGTTTAGACATTTTATTTTAATTTTTTCGTTAAATAATAAATTTAATAATTAATAATAAAATTCGAAAGATTTTATAACAAATTGTACAAGGAACTTAAACTTGTTTCAGCAAGAAATTGGCGGTGGTATTTTTACACAAAATATAAATGATTAAATGTAAGATTAAAGATGATCTTGATAAAATTCTCTTTATATATATAAATGATTGATGATCAAAAACATAGAACAATATCAGAATTTTTTATCTTTTAAAAAATGTTACAAAATAAGCAATTTTAAAATACACATGTAAACTAAACTCGATAAGTCGGACGCAGCAATCAATTGTTTAAATTGCTTGATAATATAAATAAATGATGACTTATCGAGTTTACAAGAAATTTGGCTAATATTAATATCATTAATATCATTAATATCATTATGTAATATGCCAAAATAAAAAATAAAAATTACGTTATTGTTTTTTCTTTTATTTATCAGATCAACTCATTTAATATTAAAAAAAAAATTCAGATATGGAAAATCCGTCTGAAAGAACAGTTAAAAAATTTAACATAATTAATTACAACAGTAACGACAGTGGTGAGGAAGAAAAAATAAATATTAGGAAGATAAAATTTAGTAATAATGTTGACATTAAAGAAATTGTTATCTAACAATTCTATAAATGTTGACAAAAATATAACAGCTTCAAATAAAAAACTACAACAACCACAAGAAGTATTAATGAAAGAAAAAGAACTGGAGAAAGTAAAGGAAGAAAACCCAGAAAAAATAGTTACCCACGGATTTTTTTTGATGATCCTATTATGAATGATAACAACAACAATAATAATAGTATTGGGAGTAATAAAATTAATGATAGTTTAAAAGGTCCAATATCAAAAACACAGGAGAAGTCATCTAATCAAGTCGATGAACAAGAATGGGTTAAATTTCAAAAACTTATAAGTAAAGAGACTCAATTAAGTCATCAAATAGCTGATGCAGATGAAGAAGAATTACAAAAAGATAGAGATGAGATGCAAGAAAGGTTTTATAAAGGCTAGAATGATTAAAAGAATTTTCTAATAAAGTTTATAAATCCCATGATTATTACTACAAAATCAAAAAATCAAAATGTTAATGAGAACATGGACATGGACAAAGGCAAAGACGACGATAGAGATGAAATATATGAGAATGGATGGATGGAAAAGCTATTTTATTAATAAAAAAAAATCAGATTTTGCGATGAATCATTATTATTTTTTCAACATTAGTATAAATTTATTATTTAATATCCATAACTCACCTATTAAATTAATTAAAAACCAATAATAGTGATCATCAACTTTACATTCATTAATAAATAATATTTTTGTCAAGTTCAATTTTAATATCAGTCTCATTCAAAGAATTGAAAATCTTTTTTATTTGTCATTATCCATATTTTTGGTTTCAAAACTATCCATATAGGAAAGACCAATTCAAACATTTCTTTAAACTGATAATAATTGTTTTTTTTATAGCTAACAAGTAGATTAAACAAATTAATCCACATCAGAGTAAGTTCATTTGTTTTTTTGATTCTCAAAAATTGATATCCATCAACCATATCAATGATGGTAAAACTACCTTCATGAAATTTAGGTCTAGAAGTTAATAAATGTGTATATGATTTATAATCTTCTGGCGACAAATGTGATTCATCTTTTGAGTAATGCCAGTCATTTCTCAATTCACCAAATCTGGATACACTTGTCATTGCTGAATCAACATTTATATGTATTCTAGCTATATATATATATATAAATATAAGATATCTATTTTTAAAAAAAATAAAATGGAATTAAATTATAAAAAATTTCTTACCACCAAGAAATCATTTTTCAATAACATGCAAGTTTTGTAAAGCCACTCCGCCAGGGTAATTATAACTTGAAATAATAGCCATCAACAAACTTATGAAAAGAAGGCTTAAAAAAAGAAGTCCCATAATCAACTTTAACAAATTATGAACTAATATTGATACATGTTGTTTGCTTTATTATTATTATTATTAATTTAATAATAATAAGTATTAATGATTAAGTAATTAAATATACATATAAAAATTCAATTTACATACATCCATACAATTAATTCCAAGTGCTGAACATGTGAATAAAAACACAAAAATTATCATGGAGGGAAAAATTCATGAATATGTCAATCCACAAATATTGAAAGTATACTTAACAATAAAGATGTGAGATAGATGTGAAAAGATGAACCTTTTGATAAATATTTGATAGAAAAAAATATATATCAAATATTAGCTTTTGTAAGAACTATACTTGCTCCTCAGTCCACACTTTTGCCCAATATTACATTGAAATGAAATGCTGGCCACATAAATGCCTGCCAAAAGTATGAATCAATAATTAAGGTTAATGCTGTATTTGAATGTATAAAAAAACATATATATATTCATTAATATACTTATGAATATACGAGTTATATGTAGTAATAACTAAATATTGGTTATCTACCTAATGAACAGGAATAGCAGATGAAGTAACTCATAGAAATTCAAATTTCTAAGTGATAATTCCAGTATTAAGATCAAAGAAAGTAATGTTGAAACCTCGAAACAAAATGTTACTGCCATAAAATTAAACAATGGATCATTGAAGACATGCGTTTTTTCATTTTCGAAGTTTTAGAAGGTGATGGTAGTGATGATGATGAATTGTAGCCATCACCCAATGAGAAAACCTTAATACTATATATATGAATTTTCTTAGGTATAAATAATTCATCATAAAAAATAAAAATAAAAGATTTCTTCTTTAGTTACCTAATGGATATGTAAACATGTTTGGTAATGTTCTGCCTGCCCAAAATATTGTATGACAACCACTTATAATGCCAAATAAAATAGCAACTTTTTTGACGAATGATTTTTTGATTGATGATTGAAGACAAGAAAGTGTATATACATTAAATAAACCAAAAATGATACGAACTTTTTTTATTCATAAGCAAAGATGATTTGCTTATTTATTCGATTAGAATTTATCTTACATAAAATAAAATTGACCTACCTTATTATTTTTTTAAATTTAAAAAGATAACTTATCAACATATTGGGAATAAAATTTAATCCAAGTAGGAATTAAAATTTTCATAATATGAATAATAGGTCAACTTATTCCACACAATATTAAAGAGCCTATAAAAAGTTCTAGGAAACTCAAAAATGTTTATTATTTTATGAAACCTCATGTTTTCTAAACCTTCAATATCAACTTCATATTCCAAAATATCACGTGTTACTTGAATATTAAAACTTTCTTCGACCTTTGTAAAAGGACATAATATCAAAATAAAATGTTACTATGCAAACAAGAAAAAAATCCAACTTGTCCATAATTTTTTTATTTTGAAAGGGAAATCCAAAAATTTGTGTTACATGAACTGCAAACTTCAAATAAATTTAATAAAATGGTAATGATAGCAAAATTTATTGATAACTATTCAAATAAAAAAGATAAAATATAACAAGAAGTAATTGAATCAAATAATAGATAGTTTCTAACATGTATATAATAAAGATGAATCTATAAATATTTAATTTAGTATTTACATACTTAATAACGTAAATTTATTTTTATGCTGGATTGTCTTTTGCTTGTTGTCTTATTTTTTTTTCGTATGCAACACGATCTTTCCTAATAAAATTAAAAAGTTATAAGCAAAAAAAAATTTTGAAAGTTGTAATCTTTAAAGATGTAAAGTTAAAAAATACCTACTTATACAACATGTAAGCTTCAGATTGCGCAGGACTTTCAGGATTTGGTTCATCTAAAAGATTTTGGACACCTAATAAAATCTATTTTCAAAAAAAAATTTTATAAACAAATTATTTTATGAAAGTTGGAACGAAAAAAAGGTTTATTACCTGCTTGATGGTAATAGCAGGTTTCCAATCCTCTTCTTCATTTAAAATAGAAAGGCAAACTGTGCCAGATGGATAGACATTTGGATGGAAGAGAGCCGGTGCAAATTTACCTATACAATAATAATATTCATTATTATTAATAATTAATAAATATATTTTTTTTTGTCTAACCTATAGAACAATTAAACTTTGACTACTACACTTACATTTTGGTGGCTTTGAAGGATAATCTATGACAACAACCAAAAAATCAAATAGCATTAATTATTAATTAATAAACATCAAGTATACACAAGACAAATGATTGCACTCACTTCATAAAGCATATATACCCAAATTATAATAAATCGCGAAATTTTTAGAGAATATGATTCTGTCCAAATAATAAGGAAATAGCCTACCTTCAGGAAATGTCATGATCATTTTATAAACACCGTTTTCCCAAGGTGTCTGAAAAAAAAATTTTTTTAATAAATTAAATAATAGTATTTACAACGCTACTTTTTAAAATAAAAAAAGCTGAAAACTCTTTTTTAACAAATATGATCAATAAGTAAAAAAAAATTAGTGACTATATATAATTACTCCTTTTTTTCCTGGAATGCCAGCTTGCCAAGTTAATAAATCTAAGCCTTTCTCGTTTTTCATTGGTCTGGCATAAAAACCCTTTATTGTAAAAAGTAAAAGGTTTTTGGTTTTAATATACCAAAAATATACATACATAAATATACATTCGTTAAACACTCACATAAGGATGATCTTTTCTCCATTGCCTACGTTCTTCAGTGAGACGAGCTAAACAGATTCCAGACATTTTGAAATAGAAGTGTAAATGAATTTTGTGTGACTCTTCGAAGAAAGCAAAAGTTTAATGTAAAAAAATGGTGCGACATTCGTTTTACTTTCAATCATTTTTATATATATTAATATGATTTTAGGAAGTAATTTGCAGATCCACTGATACAATTCCAGGAAAACTTTTCTTTAGTTATTATGTGTACGTCAGATTAAAGGTCAAAAAATAGTAATTTTTTTTTATCATAAATCCTGAATATTCATTATTATTTTATTGGACGATAATATTTTAAAATAGTAAATCCAATGTTTATTCTGCCTTTTTTTTTCAGCCTGTACAAGTTCTAGTTATCCAATTGGCAATGGTAGAAGTTCTGCTTCGAGCTCATCTTGTTCTACACGCTTAAAAGTTCTTTGTGCATATTTTTAGCTGTCATTTTTGGTTGAATTTACTGTTATTGCATGAAACATAACTTCTAGCAAGTTTTGACCTTTGGATCTATTCTTTAATTGGTTTCATTTGTTTTCTTTTTAAGCACCCAACCTGAAACAAATATAATTTATTGCAACTTAAAATAAGAAAAATATAAATATCAACCTTTTAGACCGATCTAACTCCAAATTTTCTTCGCCATCATATAGTTTGCTAGCTATTTGAAATTATTTATTTTATAAAAAATATACAGTGAATCTCGATTTAGCGAATACTAATTGAAAATCTCGGTTTTACGGATAAAGTTCAAAGAACGGTTCCATAATAAAAACCTTCTCGATATAGCGGATATCTGGTTTAATGGAAAATTTTCCCTAATTGCCCCAAAAATATAAATTTTTAAAACAATAATATTATTATAAAAATATATACATATGTAATATTATTGATTACGTAACAAGATCGCAATTTTTAATGATATAATGTTTTCTGCTTTATCGCGTAACAAGATTGTTCACCATAAGATCAATCATTCAACCCTAGATCCTTTTTTAAATAATAATATAATAATGTTTTCTGTTTTGTCGCGTAACAAGATTGTTCACTATTGAATCAATTGTTTAACCCTAAATCCTTATAAAAAATTAACTAATGTTAGTTAATATGACAATAACAAAATGATAATAACAAAAATAATATTCTATTTTGTCGCGTAACAAGATAGTTCACTATCAGATAATCATTTAACTCTATATCCTTTTTTCTTTGAAACAATAATTAATATATAATTCTTAACATGCTAATAATATTTTCCTTTTTGTTGCACATATTGATAGTCCAGTTTCACAAATATAACGGAAAGATTTATTTTTGCATCTTCCAATTTTGTAATATGGGAGTTGGACTAGGAAAATTTTTTCTAAAAATAGATTTGGTATGATTTTACTAATAAAAAATCATGTGTAACAAATGCTGAGGGGTCGATTTTCCTAGTCCAACTCCCAAATTTGCATTTTAGATTCTGATTTCCTTTTCCTTCAACTATATATATATATCAATTAGCAAAGAATTTTTTGTATCAAAACGAAACCTTTTTTTTGTGCCAAAAACAAACCTTTTCTTTGTACCAAAACAAAATCTTCCTTTGCACCAAGAATGAAACCTTTCTTTATATCAAAAAAAAATACAATGGTATATTAATAAATTTAAAGTTGGAACTATATATATAATATTGAATGATTTTTACATTACTTTATAAGCTTTCTCTAGCTAAATTCTATTCTTAATATGTAATAATATAATAAATTCTAGTAGAAAGCAGTTATCAACTACTAAAGAGGAATTAAGTATCAAAAGAGAATAAATAGTCAAATTTCAAGAGAAATCAGAAGAATGAGGTAAGAGACAAAAGCAGGAACTATTAAATGAGATAAAGAGTTTAGAAGAAAAATAATAAGCAATTAGAAGGGGAAAACAAGAAGTTAAAAGAGGAACAGAATTGCCAAATTGCTCAAATTGAAGTTAAAGAAACTAAGAAATAACCTTGATTGAAAATAAAAAAATAGTTTAAAGAATATTCTGTATAAACTGAAATTCATTCCAACCATCAAAGAAAATCGTAGTTATTTTCTTTTAAAGATTTTTGCTTTTTGTTAGGTAATAGTACACTTTCATTTTGTTTTCTTTTTCTGACATCTATTATTTTTCTTTCTTGTTGGTAAATTTCATAGGTAATCCTTTCTTTTCTTAGATAAGCTTCCAGCATCTGAGCATCATTTATTTTGAAAATATAAAGAGCAATTTTTTCACCTTGTTCTTTTTTTAAAATACTTCTGATAGTACTATAATTCTTGGGTTCCATAGTAGATCTGATGTAGATGAGTTTCATATTATTATTTTTGTATAGGGATAGTTCTATATATCACTTAAGATAACAAATGGGATATTATAAAATTGATAATTATAATCACATTACAAATGACTAAATTTGATCCCTGAAATTTTTGGTAACACCAATGTTCACTTTGTCTGGTTTTGTTGCAGTATGCCCCAAATATATATAGATGATCTGCACTGCGTTGGTTTATTCCGAAAAAAACTAAATCATTAAAAAAAAGGGTGATCCTATATACAGGACCTTCCTAATCTGGTAGTGGCACATACGATCTGCATGACTTTGTAGAACTTGAATTAGCAAGTGATCACGCAGATCATAAATGGCGCTTCCAAATTAGGAAGGTACTGTATATTCAGCCACAGGACCGGTCCTGTATATAGGATTTTCCTAAAAAAAAAAAAATACCGAAATAAAAATCAAAAAAATAAAATTACTTTTTAAATAATTTCCAAAATGAAAACTGCTATTGCTTCACTTGTAAACCCTAAATTTTCGAAATTTTTTATTCGTCTCAAAGATCCAACTAAAATATATTTTCCAGGAGAAGTTATAAATGGTAATGGTAATATAATCTTTGTGTGAAAAAAGACAATAAATGCATACTTACTCAAAAAACCAATTTATTATTTTGTTTTGTTATATTATGTCTTTTTTTATTCAACAAGGATACGTTATTATTCAAGGTAGTAAAATGGTTAGAGGTTCTTGCATTAAGTTAGAATTCAGAGGAAAGGTTATGACAAATATTGTAGAAACAAAAGTATTTTATATTAACGAGCAATCTATCAAACTCGATGATGAACCTGAATTTGATCCAATAGAGACATACCAACAATTTTCATTCAATTTAACTTTACCTACAGACGATTTAATTTCAAATTGTTCTGTAAGCTTTTAATTATTTTATATAATATTGTATTTGTTTATTTACATATTTATTTATTATTTATTTATTTTATATACTAGTTAGCACACTGTTCTGTATCATATAAATTTAAAGCATTATTTAAACCAAAATCATGGTTGCCAGATTCCACCTCACCTAAATGTTCAGCCAGAGTTAATATTTTAGATAAAGTTGATATTGTAAATTATTCACCACCTTTTATTAAACCTTTTAGTATAGATGTCAAAGGATCTGTAAAAAAATCCAAAAAAATGGGATCTGCAAAAGTAGAGATTGAAATTGGCCATGGTGCAGTTTTAAAAGGTAATAAAGATATAAATATGATGAGGGCGAGGTTATAACCTTCACGATAAAAAATAATTACACATTCATACATTTATAAATATTTGATTTTTCTTAGGTCAAACCATTCCGATTCGAATTTATTTAGAACATTTTGTGCCAATTAAAAATCTAGATGGTGTTTTGATAGCACTTTATAGGAAAATAAGTGCAGTTTCAAGCAGTGGGTAAGAATGGATTTTAATGTGTGTTGGAGAGTTGAAGGGGATCAGTTGGTTTAAATTTATTCATTAATTATTTTGACTTTTTTAGAAAAGAAAATTCCAAACTAAAAATAATGAATGCATCAACATCACCAATACTTATTGATCCAAAAACATTAAATGCAGTCATTAATACCAAAGTAACTATATCTAATAATGGCGATGATGATGATGATGACAACATAATAACACCAACAATTAAAATTAGAAAAAACCATTTATTTGTAGAATATTTTATAGAAATTATTGTAGATTTGACAATTAAAAAAACAATTTATGAATCATCAAAAAAATCAAGTTATACAACAATGACGACTTCAAAATATTTAAGTTTAAAGGAGAAAACAGGAAAATATAATGCGAATTTTAATATTCCGATTATTATAGGAACATTTGATAGAAGAGGGGGAAGAGGAAGTCAAAATAATCAATCGTTAGAAGTGCCAACTATAATTCATTCACATTTTAATAGTCATCCAAGTGATTTATCAACTAATAGTATACAATCATTTAATCCTTCACTTTTATTGCCAACATCATCATCATTGAACAATAATGATGATGTTAATGATGATGGAAGTGGGGGTGTGAGTAATGAAGGTGTGATTTTATGGACTGGAAATGCATCACCAACTCCTTCAGCTCCATCAGTAGAAGAAATAGGCTTATACGATGATGAATTTGAATTATATTATTCTACTGAAATAATACAAAATTAAAATGATGATGTACAATCTTCTTATACGCAACAAACATTGCCATCGCAAGATTATTACGATAATTGTGATAATTAATTATCTAGCGATTGTATCTCTTGAAAAAATTTAAAGGATGGATAATCTTGCAATGTATTATATAATTAATATGCATTTATTTATTTATTTCAATATTACATTTAACAAACAACTTATTCATCATAGCTTGTTGTTAAAAGAAATATTGTATCATGTAAATTTATTAATAAAACAAGTTCACATTTATTTATATTTATATATACTGTATATATAGTACATTGGATAAAGTTTGCTGTTTATAAATTTATATAAGAAGTCTGAAATTAGCAAGGGAATTTTAATTTAAAAACAACCATATTAATATGGACCATTTTTTTCAATATATTATCTCATTTTTACATAAAAATATATAAGATCGACGCCGATCGACCCTGAACTAACTGGTTTATCTCGCGGTTTCGCTAATGCCTTTTTTATTTGACATCGTTGATCTTGACGATCTAAATTTTGTTACACGTGAAGGATTGAATTAACTCATTCGAGTTACCTTTGATTTTTTACTATATAAAAATAAAAAATATTTCATCACGGTGATGCAATTAATTCAAATCAAATATACCATGTATTTTTACATCATAAATGATAAATATAGTAATAAATAGTAAAATAAAAATTTATATATAAATAAACCTTGGTGGTTTTTATTTTCAAAAAAAAAAAAAAAAAAAAAAAGATTCTTGCAACACTTTATTGACAAACAATAAAAAAATCTTTATAAACAATTAAAAAATGGCATCAGGTCCAATTGGTAGTGGAATTGCTAAAAGTAAACAACCATTAAGAAAATTATTAACAATAGATCCTGAAAATGCAGGATTACTAGGAATACTTGCGGGAGTTGTTGGTATAGCAGGTTACACGTTGGGACGTAAAGCAACTAATACACCTAATAATAAAAATGTACATTTAGCAAAAGACCAACCTTTTCCATGGCATGACAAAGATAAGGATAATGAAAGCAATGATAAAAATTACAAATACAGATTTCATAAATCCGCCGATCCTGAACAAGAAATACTTGAAGCACCAAATGCAATGACCACAACTAAAGTTCAAGTAAAAATGCCAAATGAAATGGCAGAAAAAATTTCACCTAAATTCTTTGAAGAAAATCGAGAAAAAGTATAATCGTTAAAAAATATTATTATGTAATATAGTTTAGTTAAATGTATTTTATTTATTATTAGTATTGTTATAAAATCAACAAAATATAAAAAATACATACACATTAAAGACAAGTTTGAAATTCTTGCAGAAAAAATTAAGCGATAATAAAATTTTGACGAATATAATTCAACTAATCATTTAATCAATATTCACCTTTAGCAAATTAGTCGTACTAATATTAATATTAAATATGTGAAAATAAATTCGAAATTCGTGTCGTATGAAGTTTTAAAATATCTCGTTATTTTTATAATAAACTCGAACTTCGTCGTTAGAGTAAATGAAAGTACTCCATTAAAGCTTTTAACGAATACATTTTCATATCGAAAAAACGGTATTACTTCGCTAATTTGTAAGTTAACTCTCTTACTAACCGTCGAACTAGGGACAAAAGAAGGAACGACAAGTTATTTTTTCTCAGATTATTTCTCAATATCGCTTTAAAAGACTTTGAATACTTTAGGTTTTTTATGGGAGTATTGATTAATAAGTTTTAGAGAGGTTCACGAAAAAACTATTTTATAGTCATGAAGAATTTTTATGATGGGATTCAACAAAAATTAAAGGTATTTTATTATATTGTTTTATATTTCTGGATTTATTGTTTTATTTATATATAAATAAATAATAAATAAAATGTATAAATTGTCTTTTAACACTCATTTCGATCAAATCGCCTATATAATTATCGAATAATTGGTAAACATTCGTTTTGCAAGCTTCATAGATCTTGACTAACACTTACTTTGATCAAACCCGCCCATATAATTATTGAATAATTGATAATAATAAAACGTTCATTAAATATACGTATTAACTTTTTTGTGTGACGCGTCAATTTTAGGGCTAAACATAGTAAATTCGGTAAACTCATACAACTTTGAAGCTTAATCCTCCACAACAACATGCATGACATATCGATGAGATGAAATCGTAACTTTGTATGGGAAGGTCTTGGCTTCAAAAACACGATTTACTTGAGTGTTGCATTTCCATTTTTGGAGGATTTGAAGGGTGTACACGACCAATAAAAAGTTGCGGGACTAAGTGACTTGCACTATACCGACGAAAAACAAAACCTAGAAGGAAAACAATAGAAGCAATTCAGGAATGGGTTAACAAAGAAAAGAAGAAAGAGGCAGAGAGTGAAGTTGAAGAAGATAATAAAAACAATAAATATATGAATATTAGTGATAGTAATATTGTTAATAATAGCAGTAGTAATAATAGTGAAAGTTGATTTTTTGTCAGAACTCCCAAAGAATAGGTAATACTCACCATAGCATTGGGTCCGATTATTTTCCCTCCAATGCAAGCACTCTGACAATTATTTAACTTATTATTTATGTATTTTCCTATTATCATTAGAGACAATTACGATCTAAATCAATAAAAAAAAATTTTTTTTTTAAACATTGTTGCTGCAAAATTCCATTTTTTGACTATTGGAATGAATGAAAAATTGTATCCATGTATTCAACGAACAAAAAATGGCGAGAATGATGAAAATGCAAGCTGGAAGCTATTAACACTCTTGCAAAAACTGCTTGTTTCATGGCCAGATCCTGCTGAATTGTATACCTCACAAAAAAGAAATATATGCAACCAATTTATACTATGATATATGCTGATACAATTAATATTTCAACAGAAGAAGATAATGATTCTTCAATAAACACGTAAAGATGAGTACAGACAAATGAATGTATAAAATTCTATATTTAGTTATATTATTGCAAATACTGAATCAGATCAAGCTTATTGAATTTATTGATTATTTCTGTTGGTGAAATTTGCTTTTTAATCTAAAAAAAAAAAATTCTAAATTATTATTTTCATGCACAAAATTCTAATAATTTATATATATAATAAAATAAACAGATATAGAAATAAACTATTTTATTTTTAATATAAATATGTTTTTAGTGATCCTGCAATGTTTTAATGTAACATCCGAAATGATGCAATTTCTCATTTATTAACTGTCCCTTTAAACGTAATATGCATGTTAGCTGAAATTGGCTCTCTTAATAAATGATTGTTGCCAAATCCAAAATGCTAAAATAGTTTTTATATATGCCGAAATTAATTTTATTAGTTATCAAAATTATATCTGAAATTATTTGAATACGAATACTTTAACTAAATAGCCGAAATTCTGGGTAGCTTTTCATGTAAATCCAAAATTACTTGCCAAAATTGAAAAGCATTTGGCTAACATCCTTACTTGGTAAACAATAATTTTTTTGAGTCAATCAAAAAAACTACAAAATGAACATAATATATATATATATATATATAGGATAGGTGTATATCAAAATAAACCAAAAATTCTTTTTCTTTTTGAAATACAAATGATTTCACGCAGACACATAAAGACAAATACAAAAAAGAGCACGATGAAAAAAAAAGCAATCAAATCTTTATTTTTTTTAATGCTATCTTTTTCCTTTTTTGAAAACCCCATCTTTTAATGATTATTTGAAGCAAGATCCGTGTGTATCGATAAGAATGGTTGACGAAATTACAGTGCGCGAAAAAAGTAATGATAATGACGTTTTTATTCATTTCACAATGAGAAAAGGTTATAAGTGCATAAAATTTTACAAATTTACTGTTCATGATACAACAAATAAGTTCACTTAAGGCTACTCAATAGTTTATCTTATTACCATTACCCGCAATCACATCCTCCAATCTTCTTGACATACTACGAACTAAATTAACAAAAATTTCAGTTTCGATTCCTTCCCATTCTTTCTGAATTATCTCCAGTGTTCGAAATTCGACTGCGCCTTTACATAAACTAATCTAATTTTAGAAATTATCTGCGGTTAATTTCCATATTTGGTTAGTGCGCGCCGATTCCGCCGATTGAATTTCGAACAGTGATTATCTCACGAAAACAATCTGTAGTAACTAGTTTTTTTAAACCAATAATTTGTTGATTTCTCTCTCTACACGACCCTTTAAAATTGCCCATAAATTTTCAATTGGGTTAATATCTGGACTATTGGATGGCCAATCCATTATATTTGGGCATCATTGCACAAGAAGTTCCATGGTTTCCTTAGCTTTATGCTTCGGATCGTTATCCTGCTGGAACATCCAATTTTTTCCCATGATGGTATTTGCATTGTCAAAGAGATTTTCAGTTAAAATCTTACGGTAAAGGGCACTGTTCATAATATCTGTAAAAAGGAAGAAGCCAATTGGTCCTTTTACTGAAAAGGCACCCCATGCGTGAATTTTATATGGATGTTTTACCATAGCTTTACTTGGAGGCTGCGTACCAATCTTGTAAAACACTTTTTGAGTATTTCGGAATATCTGGAATGTAGTTTCGTCAGAAAAAATAACCTTGTTCCAGTTTTGTTTCCTGTATTTTATGGCAAATGCTACTCGATTTTGTTTGTGACTGGTTGTAAGAAGAGGGATAGATTTGGGAACTGTACTGCGATATTGCATGTTATGAAGTTCATTGAGCACTGTCCGATTACTGACATTTAGGTCAGGATTATGGGCATTTAAAATATTTGCAAGTTCAGTGCTTGTAGAAAATTTGTTTACTGAGACGAGTTGACCTAGATGACGATGTTGTTTAGGAGAAAGTTTCTTTGGCCTGCCAGATCGTGGTAGAGGATTCAAAGGAATATCATCTTTGAGATTTTTTATGTATTTGTATATAGTGGAAAGTGGAATAGAAGTCCAATCATGTAAAGTGTCAGCATCACGAGTTCCAGCCTCCCACAAAGAGGTTATAACCATATAACGTTGTTTTAATGGAGTTTCAGTCATGGTGTATTGAAGATAAAATTGGAAAATACATACAAAAAATCAAAACAAAACATAATCAAATTATCTAATAACATTGTTAAACCTGTGATACAACCGGTTTCTTTAACTAGTTGAATATGGTGAAGAAAATTGGGTTTTATTACAGTGTATTTTATTCTCATTACTTTTTCGTGCACTGTATATATGGTTGGCTCGGTCTAAAGACCTCCTATTTCTGCGCCACGTGGCCAAATTTCAAAAATAGCAATTTTGTAATTTGTTCAAAAATGCAATAAAAATTTTCGAAAATAGGACTTCACGTGATTTTGGGTTTAAAAATTTATTTCGTACTGCCAAATTTAGATATGATGGTCATGTATTAGTCTAAATTTAGAAATGATTTTTGTAGTTTGGTCTAAATTTAGTAATGATCCTAGCGGCAAATTTCTCATGAACATAGTAAAGTACATGTTCTAAAAAAGAATAGAACTCTACAACAAATGATTTTTTTGAGAATATCTCATTATTACATTAAAACTAAAGACCTATTCTATCAACTAATAACGTTATTTTTTTAAAAGATAGGACAGAAAGTGACTTCTATACTTTTAAAATTTATGCAAAACTTAGGAGGTCTTTAGACCGAGCCAACTATATGACAAAATTTAAATGAAAATTGATTCAGCCAATCAAAATCAGATGGTTGCTGATCACCAAATAATAAATTTTATAGACATTTCAGTTAATATTAATATTATAATAGACAAGGTAGTGATGGGGCAAATTGATGATCATATGCGATTACTCAAAGTAACACTTTAAATTTTATTGATTTTTTGCCTGTTTGTGTTATGCATGGCATTTTATCATCATATCATGGTTTGATATAGCAATTCAATATGTAGAGTAACATTGGGTATTTACCATGGTAATTGTTCTCGGTTCTTCTTTATCATTGTGATAACCCATCACTAGACAAAAGGTTCCGAATCCAAATCATTTTTTCGGTGACATCACTATACTGATGATATATATAAAATCATATTTAACCATCCTTTTTTGATCATTTGTCATGAAAATTTGGTTGGTTTAATTAATCAATTTCAATTATTTATTAATCCAATTTCAATTTCGTCAATTTCATTACATTTCATCAAATGCGACAAAATAATTCCCGCTCTGCAAAGTATTCGTCAACCATTCTGATACGTGTGAAGTTGGCATCCAATAACAAAAAAATACACTCCAAAATTGGTAATAATTTAAACATTGCATATTTTATGTGTGGCTTAATCATCACGTATTTTGATCAAAAAATAGATATTAACATGTATTTGATTGGCTGGCTAATTTGATATTGATATATATATTATTTAGGGAATAAAACAAACGAATGATAATAATAATAATAACAAACGAATATTCAAATAAGAATTTGTATTACCATTACTATTATTATCACTACTGCATCCTTCCTTAATAACACCAATCAATCCTTATACCCCTAATACCAATCCTGTAATCTACAAATCGATCAAATTAAAAAAGTTAAATGATCTACATAAATGGTTTCATAAAAAAATGAAACCTCTTTTCAACAAGGTTAAAACCGCCACAATTGAACAAACAAAAAAACTTGGAAAGAGAAACTTTAAGGATTCTTATAAATCATTTGCAATACCCCCCGGTTATGCTGTACCTAGTTTACTGCCATCCTCATCTTCATCAAAGTATTGTTATTATATTTGTTTAATATTGAATGATAATTTTTTTTATTCAATGTATATTAATATTAATATTAAATTAGTGATGTTAAAAATTTGGAAAATCTCAAATCGAGAAATAATCCACCATTAAATGAGTTAGGTTATTATTACCTTTAAAAAGTTTATTTGTTGATTTATTGATTTCAGTTATAATGCTGTTAATAATGACTGAAATAAATTACATATGAATTCATTAGCTGCAAAAAAATTCAAGGATATTGATGATGGAAACCTGTCTGAAGGCGAAATATACGATAGTAGTAATAGTAGCGATTTAAAATTACCAAGAAGTCCTTATCCATCAAGCACATATGAAGATATTTTAGATTTGAGATCTCCTTCATCCAATAATAATGTTCATCAGCTTAGAAGAACTGTTTCATTTTCTGATTTGGAAGTTAGTCGAAAACATGATTTAAAAATGGCGCCAACGTACTTACTTATTTACTATCATTATTATTCAACCGCATCACATTTATGAACTGTTCATTTATCTTATCGGCTTTTCGTCCTTTTTTAAAAAATAATATAGTAGGATAATAATGGATATTCAAACTTATACAATATATGTGGATCTAAAACAAAAGGAGGCATCATTAAAAAATTTAATTGAGCAGTTAATGGTAAATTTGATGTTCCGTTTTTAATTTTAATTTTATGGAAGGGGAAAAAATTATATTTCTTACTCGAAATCATTTAAATTGCTATAAACAAGATGATTTCAGAAGAGTATTCAGAGCACATTGAAAAACTGTCAAATTCATACGAAGAAAAATTTAATAATTATAAAGTAAGTGATTTTTCATTAGTGGTTTTTTTCCTTTTTTGGAGAGAAAATTTATTTGATTTTTTTGCTGTTTAGGACACTGGGAAAAAAGGTCTAGAAGTATTGTCTAAACAAAAATTAATAGCAGATAGAGTAAATCAGATTGACACAAACAGTGCAAAATTAAATTATGAATTAGGTGTATTAGAAGATAAATTAAAAGAAATGGAGGAATTCATAGACAATTTTTGTTTAAAGGTTACTTAATTGCTACATCCCATTCATATCCATTGTTTTTTTCCTCTTCTTTTATTCATTCTAATAAACCTATCTTTAATTTATAGGTTAAAATTTTAGAATCTAAAATGCCACAATCACCCAAGTCTGTTAAATTATTTTTTAATTTTTGGTATTATATACAGGAATATTGGAATGGTTTTTTTATTTTAAAATATTTTAATAATAAAAACTCCATAGAACAACAGCAACAGCAACAACATCTCCATCATCATATCGAATGAACATCATTATTTAATTTTTTTATAATAATATTATAAGCATTTATATTTTAATTTAATTTTTAATTTGCTAATTTCACTTATGTAATATACCTTGCTTAAGCATTAATAATACATTAATTTATTTATAACATTACATTAATTATGCTTTTTTATTTTATTTTATACAATAGAAATAAGCTTAATATATATATATATAGAAGACTATTTTTATTCAGGTAACTTCTTTGGGGACTTAATAGATACAAATAGAAATATTAAAAACTGATTTTTTTATATTAAACATATATGGTGCAAGTCACTTAGTTGCTGAACTTTTTGTGCCATGACACCAATTTTGAGAAAAAATATTCCAATCAAAAATGCAATAAAAAATTTAGTCATGTGTTTTTTGAAGATCGTCAAGGGAGAATTTTATCCAAATATATGGCTGGCAATGGTTTAAAGACCTTCTAAAAATAGTTGGATGCGGAACATCCTAGCATCATTTTGTACAATGATGTAGTTTTTCATAAAATAAACTATTTCGTGGCCAAAAAACATATACATAAATAGACCAAAAAATAAACCAACTTAATTTTAATGTCAGCATGATGCTAAAATAGATAAATTTTTTGATCTTGCGTAGCATGGCATGCATGATTGCGTTCTCAGTTGTAAAATTTCATTATTATTATTATCACGTGATAAAGATTGGCCATTAAAAAATTAAAAAATTTCAATTCTTCCAATTCGTTCATTTTTAATATAATTTTTTTTCGTGTACCACGCTATCTGGAGGGTTAACATAGTAAATTCGTGAACTTTGATGCATCGTTCCTCTATGGTAACGTTGCATATCAATGAAATGAAATCATTGGATTGTAGGTAAAGGTCTTAGCTTTAATTATATGATTTGTTTTTTTGGTCATATATTACCATTTTTGGAGATCAAGGATCTACACAGCCAATAAAAAGTTCAGCGACTAAGTGACTTGCACTATAGAATATGGAATCTAATTACAAAAAATGCAATAATAATAAATTTTCTTGGTTTAATGATAATAATAATAAACGTGTCATATCTTTATATTCAAATAGTAATTATCTGTTTTGTTAACTTGTCCGGGTTTGACCCCGGGTTGATACTTCTACCCAACATTCACTGTGTGTTAAAAAATTGTATCATACAGTAAATAATGATGTGATGGTGATGAAAATAAATAAAAGTGAAATTGGGTATTTTGAAAATACAAAAGGATAAGAACTTGGACATATTACAATAGTGGAAATATCATCAACTCTAATATCCAAAGCTTGCAATATTAATCCTTCAATTCCATCTTCTATTGCATCAAGCGAGAGAGAATTTAGTACAGCAGGATTAACTATTGATCAGCTTTATACAAATTTAAATCCACAAAAAATAGCCGCAGTATACTTGTGTTGCGAAGTGCATTTTAATAAATGTTATTTTATAATATTTCATTATAAATTTGGTATCTGTTTTAATATGAGATTATCAGCGAGCGAATAAGATAATTGGCTTATTGTGTTACGCAAGACGCGTAGTTGTGATACCAGACCATGAAAAGTTTCATAACAAGTAAAATTGTGTTGTAGATATTATCAACAAGAACACAAAAAAGTAGAAAATTCAGACAAGCAGGAAAAAAAGATGAAAGAGGGGAGAATATTGATAGCTTGCAAAAATCAGACCATTTTTAAAAAAAAAGTAATGTCAAATGTCAGCGAAATATGCACTAGATGGAGACAATATCATAAATAAACTGACGAGAATTTTATCTCAAGTAGGAATAGAATGGTGATGATCATTGCTTTACAGAAAATCGTCAAATTTCTGTAGGATCAGTGAGTCTTTAACAAACTTTTTTGTTTATTAATTTGTTCGTTTTAATAACATTGATATTTCGTAATTGTCATAATTATTTACTCTGCCAAGTGGTATTACAACCAACAATATCACTCACTCACTGTCATCAATAGTGACCTCAATATACTATGCCAAAAGAGGATAATCAATTAGTACAACAAATCAATATAACTGCTGCGGCTAAAGTAATTAAAATGAATGTAAAAAAAGAAAAAACTAGCAACAGTCCTATTCATTACTTTAAATTGACCAAATACATTTTCTTTTAGATTGGAATCAACAAGTTGTTGACATAATGGAAGGAGACATTAGAATAATTCCAATGCGATGCATTGCACATCACATTAACCTTCTAACCAAGCTAATTAAAGAATCTGGAAAAATTGTTAAATTTTTACTAAATCACATGATGCCGGTGAAAATTTGAGGGAGGAAATAGATAATAATCGGGATGTGGATGGAAGGTTGAAACAATGTGTGAAACTCATTGGATAACGGCATTTGACTGTACCAACTCTATAACAAGATGTCAATTGGCAATTAAAAAAGCGGGTTATCATCGTCAAAACCAAACTATAATGTTACTTAACCCATCAGACACCACCTTAATCTCAACAGCGACAACAATTGCAGATGACACGATCTGACTGTAAGGGCTGATTTTTGTTTTCGATTTCGTATGTTTTAAGTAAAAATTAAAAGTATAAGTAAAAAAACTTTCATATATTATTTATAAAACTGATGGTAATCCAATTAGAACATCAAGTCAAAGAAGAAACAAGAGATATAGTCCTGGACCAATTGACTTACCAGAGACCAGAATCTTTAGTCTAAAATTAAAAAAATTCGCATTCTTCGAATTGCACTATCAATTTATAGCAACGGAAATATATCTTTACAAAATTGTTAGGATGTATATTGATTGGCTTTAGAAAAATTAACAATTAAAAAAAATTTTCTTTTCATTAATCATCATTTTTTTTAATCGTTATTTCAGTGCCAATCATGTGATCAGATCTTGTATTTGCCAAAAAAGGATCACCGTAAAAGTATTAACAATATAGAATCTTCGAATTTGTTGAAGGAAATGAATTCTTTACTCCAGCACAATTTAAAGCTTATCAAAAGATAATTCAGGAACTAGCTTTAACATTAAATGATGATATATGGAATCTTTTTACATCAAAAAGGAAACCTAGTCATTCACTATTACTATTTGGTACTTTCCTTCCTTGTTGGAAATCATGTCAATGGCACCTCTTAATTCAAAGGGGTCTGATTCATTTCGTCGACAATCATTTCGTCGACAATCACTTCATCGACAATTATTTCATCGACAATCATTTCATCGAAAGTTCATTTCGTCGACAGTTTATTTCGTCGACAGTTTATTTCGTCGACAGTTCATTTCTACAACAATTCATGTTAATTTGCATGTATTACAGTGTCAC